CCATAGCATCAGGATAGATGTTATAATGTTCCAGGTACCATTCCATGCGTGTAAGCAGCATCCTCTCCATGACCTTGCCAACGCAGCTTGCTAGTGCTATAGGCCGGTATGATGCCAAATCGAATGGAGACTTTCCGGGCTTCAGCAAAGGCACCAGGCGACTACACTTCCACTCATCAGGCACCATTCCATCATGCCAAGACTTATTGAAAATGTCCATGAGACAGCGCTGTGCCTTCGGGCCTAGGTGACGTAGGGCAGTATAGGTCACTCCATCCGGACCTGGGGACGATGAGCGTCTGCATGTGTTCAATGCCGCATAAAGTTCTTCCATGGTGAATGCAACCTCTATTTGCTGATCTCGTGCGACTGGAACATCCTGTGGCATTAGATCGATCGGTATAGAGATGTCGCCGGCGATCTTTGCACAAAATTCCCCAGAAACATCAAGCTGTCAGCGACGTTGATGTAGCGCCAGAGCGGCGAAAGGGTGACGCTGTTGCGGATGCGAGTGAATACCTCGAAGAGTCCTCCATACGGGAGACAAGGGCTTTCGAGGGTCTAGCGAGTCACAAAAATTCTTCCACCGTTGTTCATGAAGTTTGTGCATTCGACGCTGGATTTTTTTTCTGAAAGCGTCTGGATTCTCTGAGGTCAGAGATAGATTTCGTGCGTCTGTATCGTCTTTCGGCACGTCGGCGGACCGCTCGAAGTTGTTCTAACTCTTGGTCGAGTGCCGAGCGTCTCGATTCTTTCGAAAATGTCTTCGTGGAAGTCTCTATTGCACAACTAATCACTTCTTCAATGGATTCCGGTGGTTCGTGCATGCACTTGCTCTCCACTGATATCTGAAACTCTTCCCAGTCAATAAGTTTTGCATGTCCAGGGGAAGGAGAATCGTCCAAACCTCTGACTGTCACGTACGTGGGGATATGGTCGCTGCCATGTGATTCAATATCTGTGAACCATTGGACTTTCGTGACAATGCTATGCGACACTACTGTCAAGTCCAGGCAACTGCTGTAAGTTACTCCTCGGAGATAAGTAGGGCTGCCGTCTTTCAGCACCTGAAGCTCTGATGCGAGATCAACTAGGTCCGTGCCTTTTCGATTTGTCCTGATGCTTCCCCACAATGGATGATGGGCGTTGAAGTCGCCCATCAATATCCAAGGTGCTGGAGTCGTTGCAAATATACCATTCAATATCTGTTGATCTAGTCGACCTGATGGTGCTATATATGCGCCTATCAGCGTAAACGACAACTTCTTCTTTTTAACATATAGGCACAAGTAGTGATTCCCATTGTGAGACTCTACTCTTTGGAGAAAGTAAGTGAGTTCTTTACGGATGTACACAGTAACTTGACTTCGCTCAATGCACGATGAAGAAACGAACGATTCATAGCCCGACAGACGAGGTATTTTTGAAAAATGCGGTTCACAAATGATGGTGATGGGAAACTTATTTTCGAAAATGAATTGTCTGAACTCAGGCATTCTTGACTGTAGACCTCTTGCGTTCCAGTGAATTATGGAAGCACGCTTGACTTTTTCTCGGAAAGGCTTATGCGGTCTATGGTGCGCCATCTTGTTACTGAAGTCCGGCAAGAACTGGTTCTAGTGTGTCCAAGATTTGCAGTGTGAATTTAGCGGCTGGGATCTGTAGACTATCCAATAGAGTACGAATAACACTCATTAACGACCTCAATACAGAAAAGACTTGTACCTCTTGGGCGGACAGACTGCCTGCTGGGGGCATATTCGTTGTTGACTGTCGGTATTGTGGTTCCGTAGACACGTGTACCCGCGGTAAAGTGGGCCAGTCAGAGCCGGATGTTCTCTGTAGCGCCACAGTGTCTTCCGGCACCTCTGGACGTACCCCACCTGGTGGCGGGGGCGGGGGAGGTCTCTGTGGTCGTGGCGGCGGTGGTGGTGGCGGTGGCGGCGTAAGTGAAGGCACCTTCGGCCCAGGACTGCTTTTTCTTTTCTTCGAGCACCACCGTCGACGGGAACGCCGTCGTTGAACAACCGTTACCGCTTCTTTCGTGAGGATCCGTCTTTAACCATTTGTCTCAGAATGCTCCTCTCTTTCTTCAGTACTGGGCAGTCTTATGACGAGATCTCATGGTTCCCGTTGCAGTTGCTGCATTTTAGGAGAGTTGCTTGGCAAGCCTCTGCTTTGTGGGGTCCGGCACAACGTGGGCATGCTTGCTTGTTGTTGCACACAGCACTAACATGACCCAGTTTTAGACAGTTGTGGCACTGTAGTGGTCTTGGGATGTATGGTCGGACAACGTGACGCAAATGACCAACCTTTACATGTGATGGGATGCAATCACCTCTGAAGGTCACCTTGATGCAACGGGATTTGCCAAGCCAGCATACTTGCAATATGTCCGTTGCCCCAGTAGCTGGCTTTATCAGAACAGGAAGGTCTGCGTTCGGTATGGAAACATCAACGTCATATATGACGCCTGTCGTCGTGTCACTATCCTGCGGAATGTAAGTTCTGAGATAGATGCCTCCAAGCTCAGTGACAGTTCGCAGGGTATGTAGCGCAGCCGGGTGCTCAACGTCTATGGCCAGGATATTCTACCGTGGGTTGAGTCTAATATCCTTTATTTCATTAGGCACGATAGCTTCGAGACGCGCTGATATCACTTGCCTGTTCATGTTCTTCAGGTTGATCGAAGAGTCGACAGGAACAAAAAGTATGGTATGGCGTTCAGAACTGCACGCTGCCTTCACGGTAGAGACGCTAGCTGGCGAAGACGCGCCGACCATTCTTCTTTTAGCTTTACGCTTCACTGCAGGGATGAAATCGTTGTCGCTGTCTTCACTACTCGCCGTGTACAGTTCAGTGCTGTCACTGGTGCTGTCGTCCTCCCGGCTGTTGCGCTTCCTTGAGGTTGACGTCGAAGGTGACGCCAAGTCCGGATTGCGTACGGTGGGGCCTGGATCCATCGCTACCCGCAGGAGAGCGATGATCCTCGGATAGAACGTAAATTCACACAAAAAACACCAAACGAAATAGGCAGCGTTCGGCAGAAATACACTTCGTCCAAATTCCACCAAATTCGACCAAAACTCGTCCAAATTCGTCCAAATTCGACCAGAATTCACATAAAGGCAATCACCTAAAATTCCCCACAATGCAACTCTTCCAAATCTCATTTGCTTTTACTCTAACTGTAGCTCCGAAGGTGTATTCACAGAAACCACCACCACTCCCACGCCGTAGCAGATTTTAAAGTCAGCTTTGCTGCAGTACTAAACCGCCATGAGACATAGCTTACCACAAATTCGAAGGTGCGCTGAGACACTGGGGTTGTGGATGGGGGTCCAAAAGCTTGAATTTCTCGTTTTATTGAGTTTTCACAGATTTAGCGTTCCATAACCTTTTAGAACAAAAATTAACCACCAGAATGCACTGTCGCAGCACACCGACGCTCTACCACATCACATCAAAGGAGCCCTGCAACACTTTTACAAGAATCCTGAAGTGGACTCACTAAAGGAGCTTATAGCCTCCCGAATTCACTGCCACAGCTTTTTTATATCTTCCGTTCAGTACGAGTGCGGCGGCGAACAAGTACCGCGCCAAACGCGACCCTTGTGTTCTCATGACGAATTTCAGTGTAAAAAACTAACGCACCTCCATGAAGTCGATCTTTATGAGTGGCCGAAGTCCCGGGTATTTTATCGGTCAGTAACCTACGTTACACGAGTGCTGCCCCGTATAATGTAAATTGAGTCTCACTTTCGTCGTCTCCATAATAAAGTGTAACATAAATGCAAATTTATGTCGCCTTTTAGTCATCCTATGTAAACTAAGCAGCATTGAAAAAATTGGTTGAGCGGAGAATATGACTGGAAAGGGAATCCAAGAACCCGCCATCTTACCGAAGGCACGATACCATTTTAATGTGAGTGATTTGTAGGGACACATAATGCTTGACGTTTGTCTTTATGTTACAGGTGTAGTGAAAATTAACTAAAAATAGTATATGGGGTTTATGTCCCAAAACTACAATATGACTATGAAATGCGCCATAATTGAGCGCTCCATAAATTTGGACCACCTGGTGTTCGTTAACGTTCGCTGAGATCGAGAAAAACCTCGACACCTAGACACATTTTAGTAAAGATCGACTCATCAATACTCTTCCGGATAGGTTACGTTCGCAGGGAACAGCCATCTCCTACATAATAATTGGTATAGGTCAACGGTGAAGTCAATTATGAAACCGTTTCTTGTGTGTGTGTGTGTGTGTGTGTGTGTGTGTGTGTGTGCGTGTGTGTGTGTGTGTGTGTGTGTGTGTGTGTGTGTGTGTGTGTGTGTGTGTGTGTGTGTGTGTGTGTGTGTGTGTGTGTGTGTGTGTGTGTGTGTGTGTGTGTCACTCATGTTTCGGCTATATCAACGGGTCTATGCCGTGACCACAACGTAAGACAAGGCTAGGCCACAAGAAGTCTAGCATGTAATGCGTGAAGTTCATTACAGCTACAAGCTGAGAAAAGCATTCCATGAATGCATACAAATTCCAGATTACCCAATAAAGTTTCCGGGTCTTTTTGCTGCGGTAAGACTTACTAGAAGCTGTTGTTGAGATGTGCTGGAGGTTGTTATACTAACACAAGTGTTATTGCATAGTCCGAACAACAGAATCACTATACGTGTCCACTTATTTGTGAGAAAAAGGGCAGAAGGAAACCTTCCAGATCTTCACATAACTCTTGTGCGATACAAAAATTTAATGGTAATTAGGAGCCACGTAGGGGAGGGGAAGTAGCAGAGTAAAGTGAAGCAAGCAGCGATATTTCTCCCAACGATGGAACTGTAGGTGGCCGGACTCCCTTAGTGACAATAGTCCTTGCATCGACATACGCCACGAGGAAGTGAAATGTCATTCCGAATGACGGATGCAACTGCTTGCGGATCTCTACTTTGTAAGGCGATGAGCGTGACTGTGGCAAGGTAAATAAATAAAAAAAGATGCCGCATCTTCCTTCTCTTGTAGCAAGACTGTAGAAGCTGCAATGCAGGACGTTACTGCACTTACACATCTCTTGTTGCCCGAGACACTCGCCTCAACGACAACATGAGTCGCCTGAACTGCAGACAAGCCATATCCAAGCGTCTTAAAGCCATTTCGCCCATAACCATTACGGATGTGTGGATCTACAGCATGAAAAAGGTAATAGCGATTGATTTTAAGGATTTAATTCTATAGATGAAATGAGCAGCCTTGAATTGCTCAGTTACGTTAATGGTCAACGTGGCACTCTGTTTGTTTGTCGGTACAGTTGTTATAACAACCATTGTAGAGTTGTCCACAAGGTGATAATAATAATACCACGAGGAGATCTACGCCTCAAAACCACGTAGTGCAGGACTCCGGAAATTCTGGCCATATGATGTTCGTTAAGGTACACTGACATCGCACAATACACCGGCCTTTACCGTATCGCCTCCATCAAAATGCAACCGTTATACGGCCGGTATCGAGCACGTGACTTTCGAGTCAGCAGCTGAGCACCCTATAGCCACTGTTCCATCGAGGCAGACGAGCGCAAGGGAAAAGCTACCATCAGTATAGAACCAGGCGTGTGGAACGAGAGTAAGCGCTTTTACCTGTTCGACGACCGGATGCCTGGGAAAAGGAGGGATATCAATCTCGGTGATCTGTATTAAATTCAGTACAGCGACACAAGTGCGGGCATAAAGTCGACCGGCGAATCGACCAGAAACTTCGTGCTGGAGATCCCCTGTAGGAATCGCATGAACTTATCTTTACGCTCTTTATCACGTGGATGAGGTCAGGATATGAGAAAAGGGAGGGAGAGCAAAAAAGAAAACAACAACCTCTTACTTGAAGGAAAAAAAAGAAATGCATGTGGGGTGCCTACGCAAGAACCATTCCGCAATTCTCTTGAATGCAGAGATCGTAAAGGGGTACAGCAACCGCCACCACGGCGAAAATGCTGTATTTGACTACCAGTGCTACCTAGAACGCCCTTTTTTTTTGTGGAGAGATAAGTATAGCCCGATCTGGAGCTTGCTTGTGTCTGGAGACTCCTTTCTTGAGGTCGTACGTAATTTCGTCACTGTCGCCTTCCGTCTAAACGTGGCTAGGTGAACGAAACAGAGCATGCGCTATATCGAAGAAAATTGCAAATGATAATTGTCTACTCAATATAAGTATCACACATTGACATAAATATTAACAAAATAAAGAGCCTTCTCAGTGACACGGGTTCTCATCTGCTAGTTCCTCGTACGCCAAGTACAGGTGCCTCTGCAACCCTAGGATCTGGAAGATTCAAACATGATATACCTCTTCTTCCAGTTTGATATGCTTCGTGTCCTATAGATTATGTCGGGGGGGGGGGGGGGGTTGAAAGGTGCGCCACTCTGCTTTCTTTTTTTTCTGTTATTGGTGTTCTTTGTCTTTTTTCTTCCTCCTGCACAAGCACTTGCTCACATCTAGCTGCAAATAAACATGTTTCATGCTTTTCTTTTATTGTTCAGCGGCCAATGTCTTCCAATATGATAGAACTCTTCTCTTGAAGCTGTCGCTGAGCGTATACATTTGCAGTTGTAGGAGTGTACCGCTCAACTGCACTCTCAAAAAGACCTATCTCCAGTCAAAACGTCGGATAACTATTTTGTTTTGTGTTTTGTGCACGCGCGCCTGCACTTTATATTACAGATTGATCGGAACTGATGTGAACTTTGTGTGCGCATGCAATTACGCAAGCAGTCGCGCGCGCACACACACACACATGTCTGTCTTAATGCATGCGCTGGGCGTTTCAGACAGGTCATTACTTGCCGTTTGCTGCGAGTTCGTTCTTATCTTCACTTTAAGCGTACCAGTGGAGAGTAGTGAGCGTTATGGAGTGTGCAGTAATGAGGACCAATGTGAGTAATACGCAGCGCGCAATTTACTTTGCACATACGTGTGCTATATAGGCGCCTTCATGCGCACATGAAATGCCTGAGGCATACGCAGTTTACTCAAGAAAAGAGAAATTTTTCGAAAGGTTGCTGCCGCCGCTTCATATTTCGGTTCACATTTGTCGCTGTCATGTGCAGCAAGCGCAGCCTATTATTACACGCAGAAAAAGTGCGCAATTACCCACCCGTACACCCGAGCAACTCTTCGAGTGCGTAATCGCGATTTCCACAAGGCCGAACAGAATGAAAGAGTTAAAAAATAAGAAAACAAGAAAGCTACAGCACCACGCGCCAACTTCTCTGGACTGTCTTACTCCATTTATTGCATTGTGGAGCATGAAGTGTACGCTGTCCTTGCACCATTCACCTTGCGCTTTTGTTCTCCGTTCCGGGTACTTGTTGCCCTTACGCTGAATTCACCCGATTCGCAGCGATTATGCACACAGCTGTTCAGATGGAAACTCGCTGATTAAGGCATCGAGTGACCCGATTAGCCCCGCAGTACCCATTTGTTTATTTGCTTGCCCGTGTGTCTGCGTGCCTGCGTGCGTGCGTACGTGTGTGTGTGTGTGCAAGTGTGTTTGTGTTCCCCCTTGCCTGAGTTTGGCTGTTTCTTTTTCACTTTCTCTGCTGATCTCCTCACTAATACTAGGTAGCAGATTGACGTCAATAGCGGCATTCAGTTACTTCGCCAACGCTTACCAAGGTCGGCCATTAGGAACACGTCTAAATGTGCTGTTCTACAAGTGAAGCTGCTTAGCGCCTAGCCTTGTCCGTCATTATTCACGCTACCCGAAGTCGAAACCAAGACTAAACACCTGCACAAAGAAACACAAGAACATCTCTGTAAAAACCAATTTCATGAGTTCTTTAATAAAATTGGAGTATATGAAAGAAAAATACATGAACACCTGCGCCATACATACAACCGTCAATTCGTCCTTGTATCTCTCCATCCATTCATCCGTCCGTCCGTGCATCCGTGCGTCCGTCTCTCAGCTCATACATCCGTGCGTTTAACCGTCTGTCCATTCATTTGCCCATCCTCTATCAGCCTCGAGGACATATGATGGCACCACCTACATGATGACGCCACTCATAGGACACCAGGTTGACTTTTTCTACTAGAACACCGCATTTCCTGTGCTTTTGCTGTGGACACCGTGCGTGCTTCCTTTTGTTTTGAAGCGGAGTGCTCAAAGAAGCGGTAAAATATTGTCACGGTTATTAGCCGTAAACACAAAAGGACGAAGAAGCCAGCATCACGAGCGGCAGTCTCTGGCGTTTTTCTAAGATGACGTTGCGCGTCTGCTCTTGCGCTTTGTTTTTGTATGTGAATAGAACCTTGCTTTAAACGTCGAAAGGAAGCCTTGTGTCCTGCTCTTTGCACGTTGCGACACTGGTGGAGGTGCTGGGCTTCTACGACTGATGCTCGGGACTCCTTCGCGCTCCGGCACTTCAAGTCCGACACTGGAACCCGTTCCTTCAGTGGATACCCCTGTCCACCGCTACAGTCGCCGACAGCGAGGCCTTAATCCTGAGGTGATTCCCCTGGAACTTTCCCAGCAAAGCACTCCGCCTGGAGAAATGGCAGCTGCAGGCGCTTCCCAGCTTACTTTTGAGCAGCCTCAGATTCCGGAGACATTCCATGGTGAGGCGTTCGAAGACGTCGTGGACTGGTTATCCCAGTATGAGCGAGTCGCTAAGGCAAACTGCTGGACCACCGAGCTAAAGCTTTCCCACGCCTACTTTGCTTTAGCGGACAGCGCTCGTACGTGGTATGAGAACCACGAGGCAACGCTGTCTTCATGGGATGAATTTCAGCAGCAAATTGTCAGCACCTTCGCAAACAACGACCGCCGTGACTTCGCTCAGCAACTCATCAAGTCTCGGGTCCAGAAACCGAATGAGAGTGTCGCAATGTTTGCGGAGGACATGACGCGCTATATGTACGGGCTGACCCTGATATGCCTGAAGCCAAGAAACTCCGTCATTTGATGCGAGGCGTCAAAGAACAGCTTTTTGCCGGCCTTCTCCGCCATCTACCGACGACCGTTGCGGAATTCGTCAAAGAGGCTACAGCTATCGAGCACGCACTGCAGCAACCATGTCGCTATTATGATCGACCAAACGGTGCCTCAATCAGCGTCTCTGCAGCATGCTCTGACGGCCGGCTGTGACGGTTCTCTGCGTGAGCTTATTCGCGAGGTTGTTCATGAGGAAATCCGCAGCTTCCCTGTGACCCCGCAAGAACGGGCGATGGCTTCAGTTGGAGAGGTTGTGCGGCAGGAAATCAGGCAAGCATTTTCACAGCCCGAATCACAACCAGCCCAGCGATCTATTAACTATGCGGCAGCCACCCGTCGTCCATCGCCAGTGCCGTACAACTTGTCTGCACTGGCTCATTCTTACAACGCGCCGACGGCACCAGTCTACAACACGCCGCCGCCGCCACCACCAACGACGACGCCGCCGCAATATCACGCAGCTATCGAAACTCCGTTTTCCCCGCCTTTCTACCCTCCGCTGACACCTGCAACTTGGTCGCCGAGGGTGCCTACCAGTCGACCATTCGTTCGCAAGACGGATCTGTGGCGCATCGTCGACCGCCGTCCACTGTGTTTCAATTGCGGAGAAGCTGGACATGTTTACCGCGTCTGTCCATATCGTAAACAAAGATGCCCGACTCATGCGCCGAGTTTTTCGCGGCCTCATTTCGACACCCGACGTGACAGCGCGCACCCGCAAGGACAGCCATCCGCTCTGTTTCGTTGATCCCGCTCTCCGTCACCATCGCCGAGCTCTTCGCCGAACCATCGTCGTTACGCCGACGCTGTCTGGGGCAGGTCCCCAAGCCCTCATCGAGGAAACTAACAGCCGCGACTTTTTGAGGGAAGGTTGCCACTCGTCGAGATGCTGTAATACCCCCAGTACTAGTACGATACGACGATACGACGAACGATGCAACGCCGCCGACCTCGCAGGAAATCGTAAGCGCCGACCTAGCTGTTTACATAGACGGACGCCCTGTGACAGCACTAGTAGACACTGGCTCAGATTTCTGTATCATGAGCAGAAAGCTTGCCGATTGGCTTAAAAAAGTTAAAACGTCATGGACGGGGCCTAACATAACAACCGCGGGGGGGGGGGGGCAACTGAAGACGCCGACTGGAAAGTGCACTGCCAGAATTAGTATCGGTGATTCAGCTTTCGTTGCCACGTTCGTGGTTTTGTCCG